TGACTAGCTGCCTTCCCTCTAGTCTTTCACTGCTAAATTAGGTACGGCTAGCGCAGGTAGCCATTTTGTAGCTTTGAGCGAAATTCAAAACAAATGGTATTGAGTTTTGAAGCTCCATAATACTCACAGACCTTGGAAAGAATCAGAAAGTTTTGACCATTCTAGCCTATCTAGCAACGTTGTGTGTGTGTGTGTGTGTGTGGATATAACAAATCCCTTTAAAAATAGATTGATGAATAATTGTCAAAAGCATGAACTTACCAAGACACCAACTGGAATGATCCTTCTCTTCGACTTTAAGCCAACGTTAACCTTGTATTTGGAAACTTAGTAATGAACCTGTCAACAATATCATCAGGATTATTGGTAAGAGCATGTTATCTGTACATACTCACTAAATACTGTTAGACTATTTAGTCTCTTATCTGCCATATTGGTTCTAAGGTAATTTTTTCATCAGTTTGAGGTTGATAAAACTCCTTTCGCAGCCGACTGGGCTAACTGGGAGAGTTATTGCTATCTTTATAACCTTGTAAAGCTCAGTAAAAACCATAAATAGGGGTTTGAGATGTTCTGTAAAAACCTCGACTGCTCCAAATGTCGCACCTGAACGCTCATTCATTCTCTTAGCTTGCCTTATTTCCATTTGTATGTCTTTAAGATTCAGCCTATAACAGGATGCAAGCGGTTTAAGAGTCTAAAAATCGAGGAATTGTTCAAGTTTGGTGTCAATTGCCGACAGGCAGCGGAATATTTGGAGATTTTTTTCATTGAATAGTTTGTTTAGTTCTCCAAAAAGCTATCAATGGTTAGAAACAAGATGTCTCGTTTCATATCAAAAGAATCTTGTATGGCGTTCTGTGGAGCTCTGTAACTGACGCCGACGGCAACATTTCAGGTCATATCTTGTAGCGATGTCACAAAAACGTTGAAAATAATATGCAGCTTTCTCGTCACATCTGTAGATTTGCATCTCTACTTGAAGTCTCTCAATGAGATCTGCTGATTTCAAGTAATCTATCTTAGAACTTTGCAGTAAATCTGACGCTCTTTTTGCTTCACGTAAGATGTCATTCAAAAGCAGCATACAGTATATGAATGTCTGGTCAAGTTAGGCCAAAATGGATCGGGCATTTAATACACAGTCTCGATGCTAGGTTAAAATGCTACAAAAATCTAATAAAACAGTCAAACGTTGCTGCAATTGCACTTACAGCACGCATCTGGCAAGCTCATCGTGTTTCCGACATTGTTTTAAGTTCTACATGCTTTTCATTTGGGTGTATGTCTTTTCTTCTTTGGAAAGAAATCCACTGTGTGAGAACATTAGAACCCCTTAAAAATTATAACAAGTAGTCTGAAGCGTTGAGAAAAAGTCAGCTACAGGGATAACAGATTTCACACTTTCTACGATGACCAAATTAAGACGATGACCAAAACAATGAATATAGATAGCTTGAGGTATTTATTTGTCTTATTTTCTGTTGAACCCCAGAACACTTGCCACTCGTGACGGCGGTTGCATCATATCATTGACCAATCAGGTTTGTGACATCAAGTTCGTTGTTCTTATCTCCACCAGAATATATTTGTCCAAAGATTCTGCATCGAGTTCACCAGCGACTTCAAAACCAAAAACTTCCTAATGAACTTTTGAATCATTATAGTACTGAAGTACCAAATGGATCTGCTCTTTTTTAGATAGGTATTTAGTTTCATTGACTATGATTAAAAAGTATTGAGCTTCTCTTGTTTCTTCTTTTATTTCGTCCAGAATTATATAAACTGAGGATATCCAAAATGGCATCTTGTACACTGTGGTGCGTATATTTGACATTTTAGGTACTTCACACAGTTGTTCATTTAGGATCTGGGAATAAATCTTTCAGAAGTTTAATATTCGAAAAATCTTTCTTTGTTTTCAGCTGTGTCTCCTTCACAATTACCCCTCTGAACTATGTTTTGGACAGCTGAAGTCTCAACGTATCTGCAAGTATTTGATGTATTCCCTATTTTTTCACAATCAGCCGGCGAGTTTCATTAACGCGCTCTGCTACTGTTTTATCTGAAAGCATTGATTCTAAATAAGCATTACATTTGCATGCTTGTGTTTGAGAAGTTTATTGTTTTTTGGAGATTCACCCGTGCACTTTTGCCATGTATTGGACCATTGATATTTAGTGCCTGTAGTAAAATGATAACAGACAAAATAGTAAACTTTGTCAGTAGATGCGGAATATTCAAGCCAATGATATGCTTTATAAGGTTTGCTTCAAAAATTATGTAAAAAAAATAACAAAAAAGTTGAGGCCTGCCGGTTGTGCCAAGGTCATTGATCGTCTTGCTTGGCTACCCACAAGGCTCTACCCTGCCTAGGTCTCACATCAACTGTACTAGTGATCTGAAAGCGAACTGACGTCCGGTTAACCACAACTGGTGAGATTTGTGCTCATTCTGTAACAATTTGTGTTTTGCCGGCTCCTAGTGGACCTATTGCTTTCCATGTCATGGATATGTCCAAGTGTCTTCGTTGGTGTCCCAGCATATTTAACTCTCAATCTGGATATCGCTATACACAGTGTTCGAACTGCGAGCAGAGAACGCACAATGTTTCCTTTACTTTTATAGAGGGGTTGAGTACGTTATATTAAAGCGATTTTGGAGCTTCACTACGTCGTTGCAGCCTATGTCGTCACGAGCAGTCATGCTCTATCTGACGATCGTACATTTTGACAATAGATTTGCAGCGTAATTTCCATTTCATAATATTGTTGTGTCCAAAGCACACCTCTCCTCCCACTACGCTTTACACAGTCCATTTAATACATTTGATTTATGGGTACGGCGGATTCCCAGCGCCCGTTTCAAGGTCCGATCATATAGAAATAATTAAGAGCTGTGCATAGTAAATTAACCACAGTATCTTCGTATGGAATAACAGGAATATCCTTTTCATTATCCAGCTTCTTGAGGTATGAGACAGTTGAACAGATATCTTGTGGAAGTAACTTGTACACATGACGTGTATCTCATTTTCTTTTCCAGACAGAGATCATTCTTGATTATATTGCATACTGTTGCCTGGAGATTTTGCTGCTCACCTTTATGCGCATTCACCTGTTACAAGACGCTGCACTTTGCTTGCTGTTGCAGCGGTATGGCTTGTTGCAAATCTCTTTCTGGATGGTCTTAGTGCATCAAGTTTATCCATATTATTTAGTTTTCTAATGCCATTAAGTACAAGGAATATCCTTGTCTTGGAAATTCTAAATTCTCGATCTGAACATACCTTAACAACCTGAGTATATGAATATTTTATGTCGGAAAGGGCTGTTTCATAACCTTCCCAAAAGCGATAAATTTGTTGGTGGTATCACACTACCTGCATAACGCCAAACAATGTCAAAGCGTAGTTCTGATATGTGTTGTTCTAACGCGACTCTCTATATTGACTGTAGTTGTCATGTGACTTGCCGGTATGCTTATTCATATTCAAAGTCGTTTTAATATAACATACTTAACCCGCTGTATATCACAATAATGTATATATCAGATCTTATAACTGATCACATAAATAAAAGTTGTGACTTGTCATAGACAAAATATTGAAACCTTATATTATCCCTTAATTATTTTGAGCAGTGTATACATACAGCTGATAGCTTAGTTTGAACGCTTTAGATATTATATTGCCTTAAGATTCGCAGTTTCTTTCTGGATGATCAATACATTTCGTTACTCCATTTTCGAACAGTTTCCATGTTTTAAATTTCATCAAGCTAGTAACGAGTTCTGAAATTTTAAAGTTTAGTGTAACTATAATGTTGGCTAGAGGCATCTACTCACCTAGAAGTTCAAGGTTTTCTTTATGTATTCTTGAAACTAGTACCAAAGTTTATTTAATATATAAAAAGAAAAAAAATGCTCAAAGACAACTCGTTACGAGACTCTTGAGCCATTACCAACGCATATATATATATATATATATACGCACTTACACATGCGTTAGTATATATATATATATATATATATATATATATATATGAAATCAGACAATGTTTTAGCAATAGTAATCACTTTTCCATAGTATTAGTAAAAGTGAAAAAATTGATTTATCAATTTTTTACATCATGCCCACACTTGTTTAAAACATAATAAAATACGTTTGTTATAAAGAAAAAAATGTGTAACACTAAGTTATATTACTTACATAAATCGTGCAATTAGAAGTACATAAAAAATGGTGATGGAAATGTTACATATCAAAAAGTGTATGTCAACATTGTTTTATTTTAAAATAAACAAATAGAATGTATTCTATTGTTAATAGTCGTACAGTGTAACCCAACGATATAGAAGAGACATTTAAACTAAAATGTTTATAAATAATTCAATATTGTTTTCATATATTATGTACACATTGTAACACATACATATAATTATTATTAAAAATAATAATATCTAAAAGAATACTTATAACCATTCAACGGTAATGTTTCGTGTATCATGAAATTATAATTAACATCACTAGTATTAAAAAGCTACTGAAAAAACCAATAACCATACTACTAGTGCTACAAAAAATTACAAATAAATAAATACCAGCCACATGAGATACGTAAACAATGACTTGATTAATCTTTAAAAAATGGTCGTGTTACTTTTGTTTTATTAAGTACCGTGATTTCACGATCAATTTAAAACGACGACGCTTCAATTCTGTTATATATTCGGCAAACATCCTTTTCCAAAACGAACCATCAGGAAAATACCAAGTTTTACTTTTTGTTTTAGTTTCAGCTTATCTCACTTACTACTACTACTGCGATTACTACGGTAGGGCATCTAACGAATAAACGAACACAAACGTAAGGTTACTTCTTGACTTTAGTTTAAGTTTAAAGGGTAGAATTTATTTTATGTGTAGCTTTAAGACTACAACAAGTGTAACTGATAACGTTCAACCGTTGAAAAATATGAAAGCTGTCTACAAAACTTACATGTGAAATCGTTTTCTTTCGGGACTTGAAGTTTAGTAAAGACTTACACGTGTATTTCCGATACTAGAATGAAACATGTCCGCTTCTTAGTATCCCTAACTGCAGAGAGCGACTGGCTATAAACCAGTTGTTACGCCCATTAGGCTTAGTTACATGTAGTCTTAAATCAGCGGAAAGCAGCTGTACTGCCATCTTTGAACAAACATATGACCCAGACAATTTAAAAGTAAATCGCTCACTTATTATTAATACCAACATAAAATTAATACTAATAAATAAATAATTATGAATTTATCATGTACAATATATTGTTAGAATTTTACACCACTATGCAAGTAACTGCAAATAAAATAAAGGAAGTGTACGCATTCAATATATTTGTTTCTAAGTAAACAAACATGTTGATTATATAATACTTTGGTTTTATTCGGCTTCAGATCAAGAATAAGAATATTAAAGTAGGTCACATGTTTTGTTCAGGGATTTTTGTAGTTTTTTTTTTTTTAACTCCTAAGATTTCTCTGTCTCTCTGCTAAACATGATACGTTTAAGAAGTTTGGGCCACAAACAGTACAACAAAATATATATAACAATACTAACATAATAGAAAAGAAGACAAATACTAATACAAACAATAGGCTTGTGCTTAAACACAAAGAGGATGACGTTTAGAATCGCATCCAACCACTAAGTGTAAATGTACTTGCAATACCAAACACATTCAGTTTACAATTCCAATTAAATTTCGTTAACCAAATTAGGATTGAACGTATATTGTTCTAGTGGAAAGCAATAATTAAACATGATAGTCAGACAACAAAGTATTCTATAAGCAAATCAGCTAAACCCTCGCAGTTTTCCTTAAGAACGACGTGGGTTCGATGCTACTATTAGTAAACTGTTTATCACTATTCGAAATTAATTGAAATTATGCTTTGGGTTTACTGTCTTAACTCTTTGATCTACGAAGAAACATCACATTACACCCTTAGGAAATTAAACTGATCTATTTTTATATTTTGTTTGGTTAAACATAGACGAACAGCTGGAATATAAGGCTTGGCCAATGAAAGTAATTAAGTTAACCGAAGTTAAACTACTGTGGAATATTATATCCCACAATATTTAGTGACAATCTAAAAGGTAGTATTTTATTTTACGTAGTAAATCACTTGATAAAGTTTTATGCAAATGGCGCAAAAAAGAAAACTTAAAAGTCGTCCTATTTAGAAAATGAGTAAACAGAGTTAGAATCATACACACATACAATAACATACTGAAATAATTTCAATGTTAACTTAACATGCTATTAAAAAAAAGAAGTTATTTAATATTTAGATTATTTACATAGTGAATATTTCGTTATTCTTGACGACAAAGCAGCTAACAACTTTGTTTTCATTTGTAAGAAAACAAAAATCTGTTAGAACTTTATGTAAAAAACATGAAAACCTTTGGGCAACAAGGTTTACAAACGAGTTAAAACCGATATAGATATATCATACTCTATCGGATTTTGGTGTACGTTCTGTTAAGTTTTATACTGTTACTAGCCTAAAAACCCATCAAAAATGACGGAAACTACTGGAAACCAAAAATATTCTGTATGAAACTGGCAATACACAAAAGGAATATAAAATTTCCTTTCATAGGAACATGCTACACATTGCTCCTGAATCCACTACATATAACTGAGCAAACATTGGTGCCTTTGGATAAAAGATTAAAACATACTATAACCATGTGATTGCATAGACACCTATTCTTCTTCTGATGAAAACTCGTCCTCATCCCTACATATAATTGGTACCTTCAATTTGTTTTAACAAAGGCTTTTTCATAATAATTCCAAAACACAGATTTGCTCTAATTTTTTACTTATTTTTCAAAAGCGTTGATAGGGTGTAAATGCTCTTCAGTGTATTCAATCACAGGAGTCTTCCTGTCTTTTTTTATTCGGATCCTACCAAGCTTGACGTCATAATGATGTGGGTGATGTAGTGTCACCCACATAATGCCATGCCTGATCTGGTCCTGGGAAATCCCTTCTTGACAGGTTTTTATATAGCAGAAAAAGTGCTGAAACTTAGGAGCTATTTACACCTATGTTAGCGATTAAATTCAACTAAAATGGGAAAGGACAATCGCAAGAAGAAATATTATAGGAAAAAAGTGAAATTGAACAAAATTTGGAGAAATCGAACGTGACCGACCGACCAACACTTGGCTTATATACATGTTGATATTATTTTAGATTCCCAAACTATATATAACATCATACAAATACAGGTTTATTGCTAGCGCTAAAAATCTGTAACTAAAGATTTGTCAATTATAAGAGGTAATAGTCTGAAATACATTATGGAGAGAACCTAAATTAATCAGTTCATTATTATCAATAGATCCATTAAATGTAAATGGAAAATTAAAGACTTTGAGACTAAAACAATAAAAACTTTGACTTTATTAATATTTACACTAATCTTCCTATTGGTAATATTAAAAAAAGAGCCTTTCTTCAACAATTTCAAGATCTTTTATTAATTCTGATAAATTAATACTTTGCGTTAGTAAAAACAAGTGTTTCTGTGACAATGTCAGACATAAAAAGTACCATTAAACGAATTATTGCAGGCTATATATTTTTTACTTTACAATACATCTGTGCAATTCGGCTAACATATCTTCGAACAAATACAATGGGAAGGATCTTCAGCACACGTGTTTAAAAAAACTATATTTATCAGAATTTGACTTTTCTTACATACCAAGAGTAAATTGTGTTTACGAAACACTTATGCCCTCACTTTCACCTTGACTTTTGACATAGAGCCTCAAAAACGTTATTCAATCTACGTCTTTCTACGTTATACCTGTTACATAAGTTTGGTCAAAATCCATCCGTCCAATCTTGAGATATTTTGTCCACAAGATCGAGACAGACGGACAGGAGCAAACCAATATGCTCTGCTCTGCTTCACACTGAAGGCAAAAAAATCTTAATAATAAAGACTATATTAAAGCTTTACATATCAATCGTACATGTAGACATATTGATGGTATTCTAATACATAACTACAAGATTTTCCCAATACAGCAGAACAAATTTATCCACCTCATTCTGGGCAAAAAAAAAAAATGTATTTCACTAAAAACAATGCATGCCACCTGGATTTAGACAGTGGCATCGTTGAACAAACATTCACGTTCAAAGTTTGAAATAAAACGGACACTTTCAATTTTGAAATTATAAATTTTGCACTTATAAGTACAAAATATTCCAAATATGTTATGTCACAATATTTATTATTCACAGCTTATTAGATAAAATAGAATGTGTTGTACATTATAAAACTTTGTGAATAGAGCTCGTAAACTCACTTGCTTTCAAAAATGAAATTTCTCCTATTGCATTTTAACTCCAAATTTATTCACTTTTTCGGGAAATTCAACAATATTCTTTTTACCAATTATGGGTTTGAAAGTATTACAGAATATCATGATCTTATCTAAACTTTAAGATAATATTAAACTGCTTTAATGTATTGAGTACTATTAGTTTTTACCTCCCTCTAGTTTAAACTATATATAGGTAATATTAGCTACTTAACATTGCGGTATGTGGTATAACATTAAATCATTAGTTAAGTTACAATAATTTTTGGCTGATTACTTTGTTAGATCAACCATTGTTGTAACTTCATTTTCTAAGTCTTATTATTACTATTGAACTTTCTTGAATTTTATTGCCATTTTCTTTTCAGCTGTACTGAGTATTAACTTTATTTATTACTTTGTGTTGCCTGAACAACGTATTTTGCTAAGTGACAGAGATTAGTTGGATTGTGTTAGACACAGTACACAGTATCTTTATTTTATTACATTTAACATGGTTTTATTTCCATTAGAGCACCAATATTCTAGCTATTTATTGTATGCTTCAGTTATTTATTTAACTTCTTATTTATTATTTTGTATCTTCATAAAAATTAAATTTTGGTTGTATTATTAGTACTGTCTTGCTATTTGATTCAAAAGACGTTATTGGTGGATTGTGTAAAGTGTTGCTTATAAACATTTATAATGATGTTGCATTGTTCAATGAATGTTAAATCCACAACATTAAGCCAACAACTATTGTTCAGGTGTTCCGTAAGTAAGGTATACTCTGTTCTCTTTTTTTTATTATTGTACTTTCATTAACAGTATCGGTTAGAATATTTGACATATCAAGTAATATTAGTTTAATCTTTATTATTTTATTTGTATAATAGAGATTAATTTGCATTGTTAGCTTCGTATATGAATTTAAGACTAACCTAACTCTCCTAAGCTGGCCGAACCTCACGAGATATTAATGGGTTTACGGCCGAGAATATCTTTAGCAACAAGAGTACCCAACTGATGAAACAGTGGAAACGTAAGAATAGTACAACTAACTGGGTATATTAATTTTCACTTATATCCTTGATGTCAATAGCTAGCTTACCCTTATAATATTAGGAACAATCTGTAAATATTATATTTAAGTTTAATGAAGGTGATAAAGTATACAAAAATTAATAAACCAAAGAACCGATTGACCATTGAATAAACTACAAAACGATATAATTAATCTGTGTTAAATAAACTATTAATAAATTCTAAAATATTTGAAATGTGGTACCTAAAGACAGATAATAATAAACAAACAATTGTTTGTTGTATTCGTGTTGGTAGAAATTTTATATTTTCCTCAGAGAAAAGATTCTTGGATTTTATATAGAATACAGCATTATTTAAGATAACTGCCTATAGGTGGCGCGACATCAGAATAGGCTTATAGGCTTATAATTTATGATTTGTTTGTAATAAAGTACAAAGCTACACAATGGGCTATCTGTGCTTTGCCTACCACGGGTATCGAAACCCGGATTCTAGCGTTGTAAGTCCGCAGACATACCGCTGTGCCACTGGGGGGCCAATATAATTTATGAAATAAAGCATGCTATAAATCTTTTCAGTGCAAAACTGAAACTTTTGAAAAGGAAAAACGGAAAATTCGTTTTATTTTCTTTTATTCTAGTTAGTACAAAGTTCAACTTAGCATCTCATGGAGTATTTATTGCAGCATTTGGCTTCAAGGTT